CCTGGCTCTGTACAGTCATCAGGCCATGGATAGACGCCTCTCACTCGCCCATTCATGAGTTCCTGACTAGGGGGGCTGGGCACCCTGCCATGAATGGAGGAGCACCCCGTTCTCCTGGAGGTGAGCATCTAGTAATGGGGTGACAGATGCTGCGTAATCAATCACATAACCTCTCTAAGGACTCTCATTCCTGCCAGAGAGCCCGCCGCTAAGTGTAGGCACCCTGCTCATTTTTAAAGGGAAAAATTACGTGTTCTCTTCCCACCAAAGAAATCCAGACAAATTCCAGACTGGAAAAAAATAAATCACCCAAACAATGACAGACTATTTCTGTAGGCAAAAAACCATCAATTTGAGAATCGTTTGCACATAAGATGGAATGGCTTACTGCACCTGTTATTTGTATGTGATTTTCTTCACCAGCGTTTCAACTCTCTGGGGGCACATGGGTATCATGCACTCAGATTGCACTTAAAAATACTGATGTTAAAAAACAAAACATGAACGCAGCTTTAGGGCAAAATAAAGGCTAGACACAGAGTGCTTTGAGACTGAGGAAATATACACACAGCCAAGGCTCAGTCTTGGAAAATGCCACTTCGGCGCTCCAGCTGGGGGTTAAGTGAGCAGAGGGAAACGTTTCTAGCTCACCTAAAACTACGGCGCACAATTCAATCTGTTTGCCACCACCTCTGACCAAAAGTTGCTGTAGAGTCGTCAGTTGGTGAGTGTTTCTGCCTGAAACCACAATGTCAAAATATCGCATCCAGCACCTTCATTTAGTGTGCCTGTGTGAAAAGCTGCTACACCCAAACAAGGGAGTCCTTGTGCAGAAAGTGGCCATGGCTTTCTAAAAGTCATGGCCAAAGCCGGTCATGGGACATCTGTTATGCGAGGGAAGTCTGAATGATTCATTATGACCCATGAAAACCGCTGTGAAGGAACGAAAAGTGAGCTCAGAAAATTCCGGACGGGGTGCGGGACCTTGACCAGGGTCTTTGCTGAGAAGGTGACACCAAGACCAGAATCCTTTTCCCCAGCCCCTCAATGACACGCAGGACCAACAAAGAAAGACACACCTGGGCAGGGCGGTGGGTGGTATTTCCTTTTTAATCTCCATAGTGTATTTGTTAAGTTTATTTATAAGCAGATCACTTCACTATTTACAGTACATGAGCATAGAGATTCTACAGTTTCTGTGATGTAAACAATAACTCCACAGTGGGAGTCAGAAAAGAAGCCAGTTCTGAAGTATTTACAGACGTTAAAATAGAACTTTATACTCACAGAATAGTAATACATAGAGCAATCTGGTTAAATTATCTATGAAACTATAGAATCTGACAATGTACAAAGACAGGAAAACATTTTCTCATTTAGAAGGTAAGACGGATGAATCACACCAGAAATAAAGTACGGACGGTGACGACCACGAGAATTAAAAGCAAAGAAGATTTCTTCCTTGCCTCTTACGGATAAAGTATTTATATAAATAAGGACACAACCCAACAAAATGGAAAAAAATATATAAAAATCCTCTACCAATTAAAAAAAAATAGCAAAACTAAAAACTCGAGATTCCCAATCATTAGCAGTGTCCTTTAAAAAATTAAAATTTAGCTTTCTATTATAAATAACAAAGCGATGTGTCCCTCTGTGTAGGTGAAATTCTTGCACCTTTCTCAAGAAATGCATCAATGTAATTCCACACATACACATACACACAGACAGGCATGCGGGTGCACGCACACAGAGACACACACACACACACACACACACACACACGCACGCACACACACACAGCCTTGCACTCACGCACCCCAGGCTGTAGTTACCTTGTCGAGCTTCCTAATAAATAATGCCCCCTATGGAGTACCCCTGGGGATACCCACACCTCACAAGGTTAGCCATTCCCTGGTTTGACCCTGTCACGGAGCCGGGGAAAGCCCTGGCTTCCTATTGCTCAGAATTCTCTAGGGCAGGCTGCATAATCACACCAAGAGAAAAGGATTTGAGTCCAAGATTTGGAAATGCTTGGAACATAGGAACCACCTTGCCCAGTGGATTAAGGCTAGCTACAAATACTGTCTCTTTAGAAACCTGGGGTTGGGGGGAGAGATCTGATGTTGGTTTCCACACTAGCAGCTGCCCCTGGAAGAAGCAGTTGCTCAAAGCCAAAGCTAAGACCGTGGCACAAGGAGGTGAAGGGGGTGGCTGTGAATTTCCGGAGCAGATTGCACTGAGCCGGACTTCTGGATGGTCACTGCCCCCAGAAACCACCTGGAGAGCAAAGTGGTCCACCTCCCTGTCTCACCGGCCAGCCTGACGACACGCCCCTTGAGATTTCCAACCCGTTTCCCTCGGAATCGGAGCGTCCCTCGAGAAACAAAGCTGGGGATAGTTTATGACTTTTTATTCCTAACACAAAAACACTTGACAAGATTTTTAAATACAAAATATAGAAACAAAAACTAACAACACAAGTATATAAACTGTTTGGCTATTCGGTGGACCCTATCAAAGGCCATGGCAGCCCCCACACAGAATCCTGACACCCAATCTCGTCGCTTGTCCCGAGGGGACAGTGCGGGCTCACTTAAGGCCAGCAGCTGGGCGGCCACTATTGCAGTTCCAGTACACCCCTCCCGGGCACCTGGACACAGGGGCCCCCTCCTCTGCCCACAGGAGAGCTAGTGTGCTGCTCGGTCTGTGTGCATCTCTGTGGCTGCTTAATTCTCCTGAGCAGCGTTCACTGGGCTCTAAATATCACAGACAGTTCACTCATGACATTACACGTCATTCCCAAGTTGGGTGTTGGACAGCAAAGCGGCGGAAAGGATTTATTTGCCTTCCATCTGGGTAGCTGGTGGATACAGTCTTTGGCCACTAGATGGCGACTAGACGTTGATAAGGCAAAGTGCTGAAGTGGAAGCGAACCAATCCCTTCAAACATCACCCAGAGCAAGGCCAGCAACGTGGAAAAGGTTTTATGAGGCTTCCTTGAAGGATCCTTTGACAAGAAAAATACAGCACAGAGGGGCTTCTGGCTATATAAACACCTCTCGGAGGTGCTGCTGCCCAGCCCGGGGACTGACCACCTACAAAACGATTTTTCCAAGCTCCCGATTCGGGCAGCTGGGTCTCTGAGCTGCTTCCAGGTGTGCAAAGGGTTCTGATGAGACAGAATATCTGATCATCTGTCCCTCCAAATCACGGAGCTCCAGTCACCGCTGCAATACCAGTAAAGAAACAAGAAACGAAAGCTGCCTGAAACATACGCAAGTGTGATCGAGGCCTCCTGTTGCCCCGTATGTTTTACAATCATTTGGAAAAAATGTGTGAAAAATGCCTCAGTTAAGCTGTTTTGGAAAAAAAAAAAAAGTGTATTGCTAGTATTGTCTGAGAGCAAGAGAGAAACAGCCAAGTGGTCAAAACATTCAGGTTAAGAGCTGCTTGGTGGGGATGATGGCGAGGCTAATGTGAGATTCAACATCGCCACCTCGCCATGCTGGGGTGTGACACCCCACCCTCCTCACCAGAAACTATGGCTTAGATCTGTCCTGGGGAGCCGGCCTCCGGAGATGAGGCAGGTCTGCCAGGACCACGTGTGTTTGAAACTGCTGCCGGTCCGTTCCCTTGCAGAGAACGTGACCCTGAACATGAGCTGGGCACAGCCAGAGAAGGGACTTGGAGCTTATTGGATAAACTTCAGCGCTCATCCAATATTCTCATATGTTGGACGAAGGATCACAGAGGCCCAGGATCACAGAGCTGGGAAGAAACATCGACTTTCTCAGTCTGAGAAGATGGCTTATAGTTAAATGACTCCGTCTTCAAATCCATTTCAATCAGCTGGGCTGTTTTTAATTTAAAGAACAAACAGGTACTGAGATCTAAACTCACCGTTCCCGGTTTCTAGGGCCTCCAGCAAAGAGGCCGGCAAACGGCTAGCCCTAGGATTGGCTCTCCTGCCGCTGATGTCTCAGAGGTACCTCCCTCCGCTCTCTCCTCCTCACACCAGCCCCCTTCCCAAGGCCCTGCCCCGGTCCCTAGGCAGTCCCTAGGTGAGTACCTCACACAGCCAGAGGCGGCCCATATTTGCCAGTGTAGACACATGGAGCCAGGCTGAAGTGCTGTGGTTTTCTCAAAGTGCTTTTATTGGGTCAATGCAAAGTCAGCCTCTGCCTACTGCCTGGGCATCGTGCAGCAGGTTCCCAAGGGCTCTCCTCCCTGCCTTGTTTTGGGCCAAGGGCATCTCTGTGCAAGTGGGTGTCCCCGCTCCCAAGCTCTCCCTCCATTTACCCTGTGCCTCCGGCGTTGGCAGACAGCCCCGGAGCCCATCTGTGTGTGCAAATGCCGCAGGGACTTGGGACCAGCTTGAACATATTGCACGTTAAGTACTAAGCGGTTTCCTTTTGCCCCAGCGGGAAGGGATGAGGGGGTCCCTCTTCTTTGGCCTATGAAACCATCAGGTTCACGTTATTTGCGACTGTACATCCAATTTCCTTCCTCGATCATATCTGAAGGTGACCGCTAAATCGCAAGTGCTAAGAAAACCACCGCGGTTTTGACGTGAAGTGAGTCAGATCGCCAAATCCTCTGGGGGTGGCTTCTGCTTCACAGTGGGAAGGACCCATCTCTCGAGCTGCAGGCTCAGCTGTGATTTCAACTGAGCCTGAGCCCAGGGCGGGGTTCTGACCTGTCCAGGCATAAGAATCTTGCTGCCAGTGTCCTCCCTGCTCCCCCGACTCCCCACCTGCACAGCGGCCTGGGCACGAGTATTGCACACGCCTAGAAGAAATCGCTGTCAGAACATCTAGGCCAGTGGTTCTCAACCTTCCTAATGCCGCGACCCTTTAATACAGTTCCTCATGTTGTGGTGACCCCAATTTTATTGTTATAAATTGAACATAATTAAAGCATAGTGATTAATCACAAAACAATATGTAATTATATATGTGTTTTCCGACGGTCTTAGGTGACCCCTGTGAAAGGGTCGTTTGACCACCAAAAGGGTCGCAACCCACAGGTTGAGAACCGCTGATCTAGGCGCATAGGCTGTGAGCGATGGAAGCTTCTTATTGCATCATCTCTTCCCACATCAGGACGTGGGTATTGCATCATTGAGCTCAGAGCATTCCTCCCTTCCTCCTCCCGCCCCTGGAGCCCTGCCTCTCTCCTGAGCGTGTCCCACAGGCAACGCTGCCAGATCTCACGGTAGATGCAGACACCCAAATGGTGCTTTTAGACTCCAAGCAGTTTTCTGATTAGGGGGACAAGGTGTGAAGGGGCCAGGGGGTGGGGGCCTTAGCTACACTCCATCCACTCATATTCTTTACCTCTTTGATGCATTTTCCTTCGGTAACCAGAGCCCCCGAGAGCGAGGACTCTGATTCAGCCTTGTACCGACTGAGGAAGGAGATGGAAGAATTCCACTTAGCGGTTGGATCGGATATTTTTGGAAAACATCAGCACGGCACAGAGATGGACAGTACAACCTGCCCGGCGTGGGCGGCTACTGACACAGTCTACAGGAAGCTGTATGGCAATCACATGTAAACATCATCGAGAGCAAACACTAGGACAGAGCTACAACGAGATGGTTGCCAATGGCAGCTGCTCCCTCTGGGCGACTCCTTAAGTTGGTGGGAAAGAGCCCGAGGTGGACTAGTTCTTCTGAAGAGACCTTGAGTCTCCTTGGTGATGCGCAGCACCCAATGAGTCTTCTGGATTCAGGAGGCCTGCAGGGCCCGTCAGCTTTAGAACCTGTGGCCTCTTATGGAGAGGACGGTGAGCAGAAACTGCTGGGTGTCCTTGGCAGGCTTCCTCTCCCATCAGCGGCCCCCAGCTCTGACCTCAGGCACATGGCGCCCCCCTGCCACGCTCAGATCTCTGCTCTGCTCAAGGGCCAAGTTTCAGTCACTTCAAGAGCCCCGTGTTCAGCTGACGTGAAAGGACAGCATCAGCTGGCCTGGCAGAGGGGAGGGGCTTGTTCTTCACGAAATCTGCATTTCTTTACCCTCAAGTACCACCTGCCCATGCTAGACCCTCTGGCCTAGTGCAATGGCGGGAGAAGCCCATCGGAAGGGCTTAGAGATGGCCTGGTCCTACTGGCTACCACAGGGTGAAATCTCAAGGCCCTCCTTGGTGCAAAAGAGGACACAGGAGGCAGCAGACGGCTTTAAATTCCATTCCATAGCCATTTATTCTGTGCCTACTGTGTGCTAGGCAGTGAGTAGCTATAAAAGGAATTTAGGATGTTCAGGTCTGTGCTGCGGGAAGTCCCTTTATTTAGTCCATCCTCATAAGCCCTGCCTCCCCAAAACAGTCCAGTCTCCACACCCCCCACCCCAAGTTATGTGTCACAGTAATATTGGGAGTCCTGAGCCAAGTGATGGCTTCAGGGGAATTTTCTCTCATAGGTCAGGACATGATTGACAGGAATGGGCCAGCATGAAACCCAGCCACCATAACCTTTAAGACGATTAGACCAAGATGTCATATAGGTTAAATTCTGATCAGTTAGTAATGTCTGCCCAGAGCTCTGTGAGGAAGATTCTCATAGCACAATCAGGTTCAAAGAACTTCAGTGCTGTGGTCAATTAATGATGTCTGCCACTGGCCAAGCATGTGGCTGTAGTGGCATACATCTTGAGCTAGACACTAGAGCTGGCAGGGACCTTGGAGATCACCTTGCCTAATTCCTCCCCAGTCTATTTCACAGAAAAGGAAATTGGGCCCAGAGAGATCAAGTGACTCATCATGCAGGAGCTCAGATTCCCTTCCTTCTACAGCCTGCCTCCTCCAGCCTTCTCTGTGGGCCTGGCGTATGCTCACCACCCAGGACAAGCTCATTGGCTCAGCTCACCTACTGAGGTATTTGAAAACCTTAAAAAAAAAACAGCCAGCTATCAATTCTGAAAGGCCTGGTGTTAGCAATAGGTTAACTTAGCTTGTTTAGTTTAATGAGTCAATTCAAACTTTGTTAAAGCAGCAGGACCTGTTTTCTTTTCTTTTCAATGTAAAAATGTACCAAGGAACACTGGTGTGGGAAAGGGACCCAGTGGGAGCTGCTCTTTCTGAAGAAGCCACGTGCTCACCCCCTGCCCGGCCATGCTCTCCCTCACGAATGGCCCCCAAGGCACCTGCGGAACACCCCACCCGACGTGGCTCTGACGTCACCCGAGAACACAGAATTTAAAGCCCAATTAGCATGTTTCCTAAGTGGAAAAGGAGCTGGGAGGTTGTTTTATCCGTGCCCAACCCTCTTCCTGCTTCCCTGTCCCATGCCACCCAAACAACTTCACAGCTGAGGGAAAGGAAAGACCAGCTGGAGGGAGTAAGACGGGCGGCGACTGGTCCAGAGAGGATGACTGCTCCCAGACCACCTGTCCTGGACGCTCCGGGCGCATCACTGAAGCTCTGATGCATGTCCACGGGAGCAGGCAAACCGCAGGACCCCTGGGTCAAAACGCACGCCACAGCTTGAACGCACCCAATGCTGCCGAATCCGCTGTTGACATAACTCCCGTGATGAGCCTGCAGGTTTCTAGTTTGTTGCCCAATTTAGCTGACCTCACCTCTCGCAGCCCCGAAACTTTGCACCTTTACCCCGGCTACGGTGGCAGCATGGGACCAGGAAGCAGGAGGTCTGGGCTGGGTCCCTGCTCTGCCCGTGGGGCCTCGGGCAGGTCATTTCACCTCTTGGGGAACTGCCTTCCTCCTGAGGATCTGAGGACTCATGGCCAGGCAGACACTCTGAGCGTGAGCTGGGCACCGGATGAGGGCTCTGACTGCCATCGGACCCAAACTCGCTCAACAAGAGACAGGGCAGGGCTGGGCAGGTCGGGCCCAGAAACCGCTCGTTGGGACCGCAGGCCGCACTTCCCCAGCCCCCCAGCACCTGCGGGGCATCCTGGCAGAGGGAGCAGCGCAGCTCAGTGGCAAACACCTCACGACAGTGCATAGTTAAAAAATCAAGGAAGCGATACAATAACCCCAGGCACAGGACATCTGAGCCATAAATACATTATTTTAAGGATATACTTTTTCTTCAATTAAAAATGAGTTTATAATCCTGATTCTATTCACAAGTAACAATTTCATCATCACACGCTACAGACAAGAGATGCTATGGTGAATACGGCTGCACGTCTACGAGGGGAAGTCGGTCGAGGGCAGGGGGGTGGGGGGGGAGGGGAAGTGGGTGACTGACCCAGCACTTGGAGACGCACCCGGGACAACCCATCGCAAGCGAGGACACTAATGTGGCAGTGGAACGTCAACACCATGGAAACTCACAGACAGAAGCAGCTTTGTTCAATGTAAACATTGATTTTTTTTTTAAAAGGACAGCAGTTTCAAGTCTCTCTCTCTCTCTCTCTCTTTCTCTCTCTCGTATTCTCTCATGCGCTTGCTCACTCTCCTTCTCATATACTTATTTTCTTTGAAAGCGTAAACATATTGAAAGGGCCTTGTCTGAGGTATTGAGGTATTCCTCGAAGGTTAAGGCTGTGATCAATGCAGGCTCTGCTGGGCCTCCTTCAGTAAGCTGTCAAAATCCATGGCTTCGTACTTGCTTTTCACTGACGCACGAAGGGCCTCTTCGGAATTGGAATCTGGGCAGGGGGTGGAGGAGTCGGTGAGTGGGGAAGGCGGTGAGCAAGTCAGAAAGGACATACGGTCAGAAAATCTGCCGCCACGGAGTAGACGTGGCCCAAGACCTCGGGGAGCCCTGGACAGTGGGCACCAGCTCAGCCACTCGGCTGTCACACGTCTGCTGTGTCGCCAACGTCTCAGGGCCTTGGGTGCCATTGGTAGAATGTGGGGGGCTGATCTAGAGCACCCCAGGGTTCTTTTATCCTATAATCCTACTTCCCTCAAGACTTCCTGCCCACTAGCAAGCCGTTGTGCATGTCAGCTAAGGCAGCTACAAAACTAGGGTGCCCTCCCTGTCTGGCCATGAACCCGGGTCCCAGAAATGGGCCTGCGCCAGGTGGAGCGCTGCCCAGCCTGGAACCCTCCCAGCCCGCCCCCTCCCCCTGACACTCAGCCCCGTGCTAAGGAGGGTGCGGTGGACTCTCCCCTGCAAATAATTCTCTCCTGGACTGTACTTCTTTGTCTTTCTTCACTGACTTGTCCCCAAATGGGGAGGGCATGGCCACAGTATTGTTAATGGACAAAGCTGCTGCCTGTAGGGGCCACCACAGATGCTGTGAGGTCATGGTGCTGCCATGTGGCTGTGGACATAAGACTGGACCTTCCAAGAGGCCCCGGGAGACCTGACTCTCTTTTTGGTGCCCGTCCTAGGACAGGACAAGATGGACCAGAGACCGGAAGGAAAGTAGGATGGCAGCCACGAGGGGAAGTGGCTGCAGAGCTGTAGGAACTGGCACAGGGAGCCTGGGTTGGGACCTGTGTCCAGATGGGGCACTAGGTCTGGGTCTCATGAAGGGAGGTCTCGCCCTTCGTGCTCTGGGCCTCAGGGAACGTGGGGCCTGTGGACTTACCGTAGTCAGTGTACCTGGGCCAGCAGAAGTCCCGGAGCCCCCCACAGCTCAGCCGGAACAAGGGCTCATTGTGCTTCCGCAGGGCGGCGCCATTCCTCAGGGAGAGGGCGGCGTGCTCGGAACACCGGTAGGTGATGAAGCCGTACTTCTCGCCTCTGCGGGGACACGGCAGGGACTGTGTCACGGGCCAGCTTGGATGAGGGGTAGAAAGCCAATGACCCAGCACCCATGTCGCAGGACCCCCCACACGGAGACGAGAACAGTGGCTAAGCTGGCCTCTGCGACAGTCAGAGCAGGTGCTTTACGGAATGCCTGCCAGTGCTGGCCGCCACACTCACCCACCCCCGCTCAGTGGGTGCTGCCAGCTCAGCTCAGGGAGGGAACAGGCCAGTGGGCTCAGGGGGTCCCCACTCAGGCCTCCCGCCGTGAAGGCTGCTGCTCTTCACACTCCCATTTCCCCCATGACTCCCATCTTCTGGGGTTTGCCATGCCTACACCCCATCCCACCACTTCCTCGGCGGCTAACTTGGCCTCACCCTCCCTAATATCGCTGGTACACATCACATCTCACCCTTCATGGGAGACATCTGTGACATTCGCCAAGGCTCGGGGAGTCTAAAGTCAGTCCTACCCCACCCCCAGCTCTTCGGTTCCATGAGCCAGAAAAAGAATCCCGACTGATAAATCCGGCGGCTGTGCAGACTCAGGGCAGAGACAATGTGGAGGTTCCCCTCGCCCTCCGACAGGCTTACCAACAGCAGGTGCCTAATAAACACTCCACTGAATCCCGCGCCCTGACACGTGTCTGAGCCAGGCCAAAATCAATCCCCTTCTGCCTCTTTAAATATGTCTGAGGCTGGTAGTACGTCTGAGACTCATGTGTACTTCAAAAATATTAACAAATTGACCCTTCTCTTTAAAAATTAATTTGCTTTTTGCTTTGGCATGTGATCTGCATATGGTGTCCTAAAGTCTGCATAGAAATTAAAACAGTTCTATTTGTATGATGACTCTTTTTAAAAAATTGTGGTAAAAACACATAACATAAAATGTAACATCTTTACTATTGTTTTAAAATATATTTTCTTAATTTTTAGAGAGGGAGAGAGAGGAAAACATTGATGTGAGAGGGAAACATCGATCAGCTGCCTCCGGCATGGTCCCTACCAGGGATGGAGCCTGCAATCCGGGAGTGTGCCCTGCGCAGGCATCAAACTGGCAACCTTTCGGGGCCTGGGATGATGCCCAACCCACTGAGCCACGCCAGCCAGAGCCATCTTTACTATTTTTAAGTGTCTAGCTAAGTCGTGTTAAGTATATTCACATTGTTGTGCAACAGATCCCCAGAATCTCTTCATCTTGCAAAACTGAAACTCTATACCCATGGAACAACTCCCCCACACCCCGCTCTCCCCAGCCCCTGGCAATCCACTATTCTACTTTCTGTTTCAATGACTTTGACTAGTCTAAGGACCTCACACAAGTGGAACCATTCAGCATGTCTTTGTGACTGGCTTTATTTCACTTAGCAGAATGTCCTCAAGATTCACTCATGCTTATAGCACATAACAGGATTTCCTTCCTTTTTCAGGTTGAATGATATTCCATCATATGCATATTCTATTATTTTCCTTATCCATTCATCCGTGGATGGACACCTGGCTGGTTTCTACCTGTTGGGTATGGTGAATCATGGTGCTATGAACATGGTTGTGCAAATATGTCTTTGAGATCTTGCTTTCAATTCTTTTGAGTATATATATATATATATATATATATATATCCAGAAGTGGTATTTTCTGGATCATATGGTAATTCTTTTGTCTTTTAAATATATTTTATTGATTTTTTACAGAGAGAAAGGGAGAGGAATAAGGAGTTAGAAAGATTGATGAGAGAGAAACATCAATCAGCTGCCTCCTGCACACCCCCCACTGGCGATGTGCCCACAATCAAGGTACATGCCCTTGACTGGAATCAAACCCGGGACCCTTCAGTCCGCAGGCTCACGCTCTATCCACTGAGCCAAACCAGTTATGCTTATATGGTAATTCTATGTCTAATTTTTTAGGCGATTTCATACTGTTTCCCATAGTGGTTGCACCATTTTATATTCCCACCACGAGTGCAGAAGGGGTGCAGAAGGGTCCCCTTTCCTCCACATCCCTGCCAACACTTGTTATTTCCTGAGGCCATCCTGATGGATGTGACGTATGCAATGATTTCTATGCAGACACTATTTTCTCATGGAAGCCTCAAAAATTATTAATAAATTAGGATTTGCCGAGACCGGTTTGGCTCAGTGGATAGAGCGTCGGCCTGCGGACTGAAGGGTCGCGGGTTCGATTCCGGTCAAGGGCATGTACCTGGGTTGCGGGCACATCCCCAGTAGGAGATGTGTAGGAAGCAGCTGATCGATGTTTCTCTCTCATCTATGTTTCTAACTCTCTCTCTCTCTCTCCCTTTCTCTCTGTAAAAAATCAATAAAATATATTTAAAAAAATAAATTAGGATTTAACAACTTTAATAACGTAGCTTGCAAGTATAATAGGAGATACTTTAGAATTATTTCAAAACCGACCAAGTTTTTGACATCTAAGTTGTACCTTTATATACAACCTAGTTCTGCAGGCCCCTGACAGATGAAACACTGCTTCCCAGGTGAGTGAGGAAAAACCAGGCTGCCCAGGAGAGTGGACGGTCTGTGAGTGGCTGCTGCAGAGCAATGGGGAGGGGTGAGCAGCGTGGAGCCTGCACAGCAGGGAGGTCCCAATGCATCCATGCCTCCACCCCCCCCCACCCCGCCCAAGGGGCTATCTGCTGCCCTGTCTCGGGTCTAGGGCGGAGAGCCCGAAGCAGACACGTGGGCTGCAGATCTGTCTCTGCCACGAGCTAGCTGCTCAGTCACCTGGTCTAAGCTCCCCAACGAAAGGTCAGCCATAGAAAGAATGAGTGTCTATGTCACAGGCACAGCGTTGGGAAGTGTAGAGAAGGCAAGGAAACTGACGGGTACTTAGCAAACCATCAGCACATGTCCCTGCGATTCCTGGGCTGCACGATCCTTACTGGTCCTTCCCCAGGTCCAGGCTGTGCATTTCCTCCAATTTGTTCCGCAAACCTTGTAAGGCATCTTCTGCGCGGCCAGCCCTGGATGGGGACCTCTGCCCCACCGCACCCCACTCCTCTGCCAGATTCCACCCACCTCTTGCTTCTCGTCAGCACCTGGCACTCCACAATCTCACCAAACACTTCGAAGCGCCTCTTCAGCTCGTGGGAGCTCATGTCGCTGGAGAGATTTCGAACATACACCACGCGGCCTTCGCCCTGCTCGGGAAGGGGGACACAGAGGGACCCAGTCACTGCCTGGCTTCCCGGGGCCCTCAGGGTGGCAGGCTCCCAGGGATTCCTGGTGCCCAGGCCATGGCGCCTGGCTGAGCGAGTGGTACCAGCGGGGGCTGGCGTCAGAGAGGACCGGTCCTGCTGGAGAAGGAGGTTCCGGGGGTGGGAAAGTGATCCCCATGGGAAGCAATTGCTTCCTTGAAGAACATGAGCAGAGATTGGGCGGAGAAAACAGAGGGGCTCCTCACTGTTAATATAACATCATACTCAGGAGCGTCCACGTTTGTTTTGAGTCTGAGACTTTTCTGAGTAGTCGGGGAGGTGCTGGGGTGGGGAGGCGAGGTGGTAGGGGCAGCCCTTGGGAGCCTGGTCGTCCAGGGGGTCAGGTGGGCTGGGAGGGACGTGATGGGACAGGAGACTCAGGGCTTCTGGAGCCAACATTATCCTTGGCTCTGCCAGGGCGTTAGACACGCTGATGGAGGCCACCTTCAGGCGAGCTCGGGACCATGCCCACGGGCCCCTAGGGCAGCCCAGCAGAGGGAAGGGTGGGGGAAGCCCAGCCTCCCCTCTTCAACCTGTGGTTGCGTCCAGTTAGAGCCAGTAACAGTGTAAGAGTTGCTCTGACCTGCTTTGACTCCAGCCATGTCCCTGGGGACCTGGGAGCCTGTGCTTCCAGGGGCAACACGGACAGGTTCTGGTTGGGACAGGCTTTCTCCAGGAGCAGGTCAAGGCCAGGGACTCTGGAGCCCTCCCAGGCTCTGCCGTCAACAGTCATGGGAACTGTGCACCCCACTCCAGCACACGATGGGTCTCAGTTAAGCTCAGTGAGAAAGCCCCTCTCTGGGCCTCCTGGCAGCTCCTTGAATTCATCCCCCTCTTTCCTGCCTCTGCCCCTTGTTCTAAGTCTTTGCTTTCATCCCTCAGGGCTCAGCTCCTTGAAGAGGCCCCGCCTCCAGACCACCATATAAATGCATGCTCCCAACAGTCGGACAGTCTCATTGCGACGTGATCACCCTCCCAGCGTTCTTCCCAGCCTGTCATTACAGTGCTTATTTCTTGTTCATGAGCCTGTTGCCACTGTCTCTTCTGCCCCGCATCTATCTTGTTCATTGTGGTCGTCCAGGGCCTAGGACGGTGCCACACATGTCACAGCTCCTGCATGGACACACCTGGATTCTAAGAGGATGCTCCACACACAGCCTGTGGTGTTAAGCACCTGCTTGCCGACAGTTCTGTACCCCCGTGGCAGGGAGACCCCGTGTGTGCCCCCTGCTTCCTCCCCAAAGCACCCCTCATGGGAAAGCAATCTAGTGAGAGTCCGTTTGTCTTTCTGTCCTTGTCTTACTACCCCTTCCCTCCTTTCCAGTGATATGGAGGGGCTGGCTCACCCTCAAACCCCACCCCCGGCTTCCCGGTTAATGTTGTGGGGCGGGGGCTTTGCAGTAGGCTCACCGGCAGCTGGGTCTGTGCACTCTCTCTGGGGGAGGATCAGAGAAGTGAGTGGGGAGCAAGGGATGGGTTCTCTTGGTCCCTTAGACCTGATCAAGCTGGGGGACCCTTAAGAAGCACAAGGCTCAACTCTCTTGTGTACAGATGAGTAAACGGAGTCTCAGGGAAGCAGGGGTACCTGCCCAACGTCACACAGCAGGTGGAGGCGGGATTAGTGTGTGGCCTGGCCGGCCTGGCTCTGTTCCCCCAACCACGCCTGCCCTGAAACAGCTTCAGGCCTGCAAAGTCCCGGTCCTTCCTGACGCCCCTGCTGGTTCCCGTTTGCTCTGGGATCTGGGGCCCCAGGTCACTTACAATAGCCTTTTCCCGCCGCTTCCTGGCATGCCGGACGCTTGGCGTTCCGTCTGAACACGGCCCTCTGCTCTCACATCTGTCAGTGAACAAGCAAAGCAGAGGCACTCACTCTCGGGAGGGACCACGTGGGCTGGGCGGCAGAACTACAAGGACCCCCTGAGCAGGGAGAGCCAGTCCTCACGTGGGGCTGAGCACTGACGCCCGCCTCCTGCCACCTTCTGGGACTAGATCGCTGGGACCCACCACCTTGCTGATCATGACCCATCTGCACCTTCTCATGCCCTTATAAATAAAAAGGCCCTTTCACTTCATTCTCGTATTTGATCTGAGGAAGAAACCAGTGCAGCCTTATGTTTCCCCATTTTCTAGATGAAAACCCTGAGGCTCAGGTGCAGGATGGGATTTGCTGAAACCAGAACGTGCAGAAGCCAGAGGAAGAAGGTCTGCTAATCAGACGCACTGCCCTCTGGTGGTTGGTGCTGGGGTTGCCATCACAGCCCCCTGTCGGGCTCTGCCACATGCTGTCTGTGCCCTTGGGAATATGATACAGCACAGAGGGTAAGAGCAGGGCTCCGGAGTCAGCCAGCCTGTGCCTGAAGCCCGGCTCTACCGCCTCGCTGCTGGGTGACATCGGGCCCGGTCCGTAAGCCCTCTCAGCTTCAGTTCATGGGCAAAATAGGGAGAGCGATGGCATCCACCCCCTCAGCCTTTGGTGAGGGTCAAATCAGAAAACGCACGCAAAGGCCGAGCCCAGGACCTACGTGCAGGATAACTGCTTGCTATGTATTCCTGCTAAACCCCTTTGAGCCTCAGCTTCGTCTATAAAACGGGGGTAGGAAGCAGATGCACTCTCCAAAGGCACCTGTGAAGCTCAGATCGGGTAAGAGGCGGCACGTGATCTGCGTGCGAGCTTTAAAGTGCGCTTCAATAACAGTATCACCATCCGTTTGCAATGGAATTGGCAGTGTCCCCTGCAGAGCCGAGAGCGACTGGAAGGTACTGCAGGGTTAGGGGTTTGTGTTGTTAAACCAGCTCACAACGCTTCCCGTCGAGCAATGTTTGAGAGCGGAAGCACAGGGAAAGAATTGTGGGTCTGGAGAAGGTTGACTAGTTTGCCAGGCTTACCAGTGCTGAGCTCTGCCAGGCAGCCCAGCAGGGAGTCAGTCAACTTTCTCCAGTGAGCAGAAACGCCAGGCTGAACTTGGCCCAAAAGCGAGCAGAGGAAAAGAGGTTGTGGGGGTTTCTAGAAAGGTCCCCCACTCTTTGCCAGCAGGCCCTGAGTGCAGACCCTGCCTACACACCCCAGAGCCTGTCAGCGGGGAGGAGCCCGGGCAGCTCCAGCTCCAGTGCTGGGGGATGGGTTTGACAGGAATAGAACCTCAGCAGCTTTGGAACAAGGAACAGACGTGGCAGAGAAACTGCCTAATGTAAACACTGAGTCATTTAGCTCACAGCAACCCCGAGGGGGAAAGGAGAACAGAGCCGGAAAGAGAGCAAGAGAGTGGAGAGAGGTCTAAGGGAAGCCGGTCCTGACTGGTCATCCTGGCTTCTTATAGGGAAGGGCTTTTAGAGAAATCGCCGGGGAGCTCATTTTGAGTAACATAGTCCAGGGCTTCTAAACATTAGTGCCTGGGGAGTCCCATAAAAATCGAATGCCCAGTTAGATGTATATGCACATTTTTTAATGGGGGAGGAGCCTTTGCATCGATCAGATTTTCAAACAGTGAAGAGCTGCTGGCGTCGATATGTAAATAGGAAGCTGAAATTTTCTAAGAAAATCTTTCTATTACTGAATTCTGGTTCTCAGAGTCATACTCTGGGGACTCTGGGCGTCATCACCTGGGGACTTATTGTTAGAAATGCAAATGATCTACCCCCAGACCTACAAAATCAAAAACTCAAGGGGTGGGGCCCAGCCCTCTGCGGTTAACAGCCCTCCAGGTGGCTCAGCGGCAGGGCTCTAGACCCAGTAGCACCATCTAGTGGTCACTCAGGTGCATCTCAGACAGAGGGCGTGGGACCTGCGCCAGCCCACCTCAGGCTCCCCTCCCCCAGAAAGATCCTGCTGGGATCAGGGAGAGAAGCAACCTGCCTCCACCAAGATATGCCAAACCTCCATTCTTTCTGCCCGGCAATCCACTGGCTTTTGGACCGGCTCCCTCTGCAGGCCGGGTCAGTGAGCAAAGACGGGATGAGCAAACAGGCTCATGACGCACCTTCGCATCATCCCTGAGCAAAGGCAAAAGGGGGGTTGACTGGAAAGTCACAGTGCAACTCAGCAGCACCGAGAAAAGGGAAAAAACCTCATCACTGCTTGAAACTCAGGTATGTTGCAGAACACAGAATAGAATTACGCTAATTTTCCTTTTACATGTAAGTGTCACATAGGTGTTAAACTGTGTGGGTATCTATATCCTATATAATAAAAGGCTAATATGCAAATGGACCAAACAGTGGAACACAGAGGGAGTGCTGCTCATCCAGAAGCCTGGCTCACGATTGGCGAGCACAGGGGTGGTGGCGGGAGCCTCTCTGACCTCCGTGATTGGCGGGTAGGAGCGAGGGGGCCCAGACTGCGAGAGGGCACAGGGCCTCTAGTGTTTCTGTAAAAACCCAGCCGTTTTACAAGCATATAAGCAGAAAACAGGTGACTAAGAAGTAAGTTCATTCAGACATACGGCTCCAAATCGTGGAAAGTAGAGATTCTCCCCCTCCTGAGGCCAGGAGGTCTGGGCCTCTCCTGACGGTCACTCAGCAGGCTCTGCCTGCCTCCAGGACTGGCCCACAGCTCCCCCGAGGAGACCACCCTCAGGCCTCTAACCAGGCCACGGGCCACACAGGGAAACGCTGACCCGGTTTCAAGGCTCCTCCCTCCCCTGGCACCCTGGGGACTGGGGTCGTCAGCTGCCCATCGTCTCCCCGGAGGCCACCCAGCCATACCTGAAGGTCCTGCGCATGGCTGGTGATCGGGAGCGGCAGGAGGAGGAGCCGGAGCTGGAGCGGCTGCGGGAACAGAGCTGCCGGCTGGCCTTGCTCGGTGGGCTCTGGTAGGGGCAGTAGTCAGAGCGAGGGGGGCTGACCCCGGAGTCGTCGTCATTGTCCTCCTCCTCCTCCTCCTCCTCCAGGAGGAAGCTGCTCTCGCCACTGCTGCTGCTGCTGTCCTCAAAAACCGTGTCGTATTCGGGGCTCTTGCACAAGGCCAGGTCTTCGTCCTCCAGGGCGGTCTCCAGGAGCCCAAAGTGCTTGGTGAGGCTGGCGCGGATCTCGTGGTCTCTCAGCAGCAGACTGTCCTTGGCGGGTGCACCTGCGTCACCGCTGCCGTGTTCCTCCCAGCCCAAGGCCTGCGCCTCGGCCTGCAGGGCACCCTGCTGGGGCCGGTCCTCAAGGTGGACCCCAGACGGCTCCCAGGACCTCAGCACCTTCCTCTGCAGGGCACCCTCGGGCTTGAGCACCTGGCAGTAGTCATGGTCTCCAAAGGAACAGGAGAAGGGGCGCTTCTGGCCGGCCTGGGAGGCGGGCTGGGCGGTGGCATGCCGCAGGTGGGACAGGAGCTCGCTCCGCTCGTTTTTTTTGCTTCTGCAGCCTGTGGGCCGCCCCTGTGGCCGCCCTGAGCTGGAGGCCCTCCGGGGTGGGGAGCCGGGGAGCTATGTCTTGGCCTGGGCTGTGCTTGATGTCCGGCTTGAAGGGGTCCTCCTCTGTGGGCTTGTACGGAGGGGTGGTGGGTGGGGTGAGTCCTACCCATGCAAGAGGAGACGCATGTGAGGTGGAGACAGATCACTTCTCCAAGAGACACCGAAACCCTAGTTTGGGATGGCAAAGTGGGACCCCACTTCCCAAACGCGATGGGAGGGCAGGCATCACTGATCGGTTACTGCACTCCTGGCTGAGCCTGGGACTCCTCAGAGCCCACCATCCATTTTTCGGAGCTGACATGTGATGAGACCCGTTTGCCATCCCTTCTATAGCCTGGCAATGGCAGCCGAGGCCCCCGACCATCCAGGATAACTTCCTGCTCCCCGTCCAGTTGTTCAACAGGGCCTCCCCGCTGCCTCCCTCCTGGATTTGATCCCCACGGTGTCCTTAGTGCTCCTGCATCTGCCCTTGGCCCCCATCCTCCCCCACGCACAAGAGGGAACTTGGTAAAACACCCAGATCGCGTCCTCTCCTGGGCTCCCGAAGTCTATAGGATCAACACCAAACCCCTCAGCCTGGCATTCCTCTCAGCCTCTTGTGGTTGCTCTTTGCTGACCCCCCCCCAGTTCTGCCAGGTCACAAGGCTTGGTGACAGGTCCCCTCAGGGGCCTCTGTACTTTCCCTCCTCTTGCCTTTGCTCCGGCTGATTCTGCTGCCAGAGATGCCCTTCCCCACTCACCCTGTAAGGCCAGCTCCAATGCCCCCTGCAACTCTGCCCAGGCCCCACTTCTGCCCCTCGCACTGCCCCTCTGTGCTCCCAGAGCTCTGACACATACTCTGGAATTAGTGGGAATGAAACAGTACTCCGCATGGTGTGAGTCTGTCTCCCGTGTAGGACTGCGGACTCCTTTGGGGGAAACGGTGGCTCTGCCTTTGCTGGGCCCGACATCAGCTCACAGGCCGGTTGGCCCCTGAGTTTCCTCCTTATAACACCCTCATGATGCATCTCAAGACCTGGCACAGCCTGTGCCACAGTGGCAGGGAGAGCTCAAGGGGGCACCCCTCACTGCCCGAGGGGCTGCTCAGTGTGGGGGACTCGTTGCTAGGCACTGTGCCAGCTCCCCCAAGGGCAGCCCCGGCTCACCTGCCGTGCCACAGAGTTCCACTGTCAAGGTCTGCTCAAAACTCTTCTTGCCAAAAGGAGGGTCACTGGTGGGCGGGGAGGACAGAAAGGAAAGAGGCCGGTCAGCAGCAGGCCCCACCTCCCCGAGCACGGGGGAGGGCAAGGGGACACAGTGATAGGCCCTGGCTCTGCTGCCCCTGGAAGTGAGGCCTGGGGAGAATTTGCTGGGGGACCCCCCTCTCCTTCCTGGCTTTTAGAGGAAATTCAAAGCTGCCAGAGAGATGTGCTGGAGAGCGGAGAGAGGGCAAGGATCTTCAGCCTCCTTATTGTATAGATTGAGCATCTGAGGCCCAGAGAGGGAGACTGACTTGCCCAAAGCCACACAGCATTTCCAGCTTTCTCCCATCGAGAAAAGAACTCCTTCCCTGGTCCTGGAGAGGACAGCCTACAAAAGGGTGGAGGCCTTGATTCCCCACCCTTCCCTGCAGAGACTCGTGCCTAATAACAAACTCCCTTCTAAGGGAGCCCAGCTCTGAGGGCCCGGGGGCAATGAGGGCATGGGCATGGGGGCAGGGCCAGGCTCAGGACGGATGGACCACCCAGCCTCTCCCCCCCCACCCCCCCGCCGACCTACACCCCCAAAAGGACAAAGTCTCATGGAATAATAATCTGATAATTTCCAAAACCTACCTTTGTGACAAGCTCAGCATGAGGCACCTGGAAGAGTCTGAAAAGAAGACAAAAAAGAAAAAAATTAACATCCCTCAACATGGCAGTGTTAGCAAATGCTTCCCTCAGGAGGAGACCCCAATTGGTACCAAGCACAGCTCCCCTCAGCATGCGACCCAAAAGCCTCTGCCATTTTGAGGGAACAACCCAAAGCCACCTTCACCCCCAGTCTCAGCAACATCAGCTCCTGGCAGATCGACCCCATTTCCCAGAAAGAGCAGATGAGTGCAAAGGGCGCCCCCTCCTGGCCACACAGGGTAGCACAGGGGGAAGAGCTGGGAGCCCAAGGCCAGCGCTATGAGCTCTGGCACCCACGGATGCAGGACTAACCAGCTGAAGGGATCACTAGATATCCCGGTGCCTCCATTTCTGTGTCTTAAAATGGGGATTATAACGAGTCATTATAATCGTGTGAGGGGGTCAATGGGGATCATCTGTGTTCGACCAGTGCCTGGCACAGTAAGCACACAAGTACACAGAACAGGTAACTCTTAATAGTATCATCACTACTGTTACCATTTAAAATTCACCTTCATGGCGGAGCTGAATTTACAGACACACCTTCTGTCACATCATCACCCACGAAGTCTTCTTTAGAGCACTTATCACAACATGTAATTATCTTCCTTTGGTCACCTGTCTCCCCCACTGAAACACAAGCCCCATCAAGGCAGGCGTCTCCCTCCTTGTTCATTAAGTGGCGTCTGGCCCATGCATGGTGTGTACGGGTAATTCCTGAAGATCTGCCCAGCTAGCCCATTGTACAGAAAGGAAAGTTGAGATCCAGAGAGGAGAAGGGACTTGACCAATGCAGGGTTCCCGGCTCCCAGCACAGGGGGGTTCACCACCTCCCACCCCTGCCCCCTCTCCTGCAGACGGACTCCGACTACCTCTGGAAGGGAGCCGCGGGCAGCTGGGGTCCTCATCCGTGTCCCCACACCCACTCTCACAGGGGCTCTCCAGAGCCGGGATCTGGGGTCCCCGGGGTTGCTGCTGGGCTTGGCCACTATCCTCGTCCGTGGGGCTGCCCTGCTCCCCCTCCGTGTCATAGGCCTCGGGAGCCAGGCTCAGCGAGGGCAGAGTTCCTTCTCCTTGGGGCTCTGAAGGGCCCAGTGACTCATCGGTGAACGTCAGCCAGGGGCCCAGCTCCGGGTTCAGTCTCCTGGAACGCCGCACGGGGCACACCGAGCTCTCCAGCTTCCTCCCCAGCTTGGTCCACGGCAGGCCTCTGCCCGGCCTTTTCCAGCCCCATTCTTCCTCCTCCTCCTCTTCTTTTTCTTCCTCCTCCTCCTCCTCTTCCTCTTCCTCCTCCTGCTGCAGCCTAGCCAACCGGCTGACATGACCTTTCACCTCCAGCCGCAGTGGGCGCAGGCTGCGACTGGGCCCGGTGCTCTTGGGTGAAGCCGCGACCCTCACCTCCTCCACGGGACACGGGCAGCCAGGGGAGGCCTGACCGTCCTTGGGCCTGTGCTGGGGCCTGAGGGAGGCGTAGACAGGTGTGGCCAGGCGGTAGGGTTTGCTGACATCACAGAGGACATCTTGAGCCAGAAGTTCCCTCAGGATGGAAAACTCAGCCCATGTGGCTTTGGAAGGGTGCGGGGACCGGGCCCAGGGTCTGACCTGCTTGGAGGGGTGGGTGCAGGGCGGAGGGGCGGGCTCTGAGGCCTGTGTGGACAGCTTCCTCTGGGGGAGGCAGTAGGTGTGCATGTAGCGAATAAGCTGCAGCACGGCCTGCATGTCCTCCGGGGAAACCTGGGCGCCAGGGCCTGCCCTGCCCTGCGCCGGGGAGTCCCAGGGAGAGGCTGGAGCTGGCTGGGGGCTCAGGCAGTCCTTGCCCGGCTCCTCATCCTCCTTGGCGGGGAGCCGGGGAGACAGGGGAGCTGGTGGCTGCAGGCCCCTCTCTGGGGAGTGGGCTTTCGCCTGGAGGCAGGATGGCACCGAGGTGAGGTGCTTATGCAGTTCCGAACAACTCCGGCTCTGAGGCTGCGTCGTGGGGGCCTTCTTCTCTTGGGTGCTGTCCACCTAGGAAGGAAAAGAGACCAGAGTGAGGAGGGAGGCCCACCCTGCTCCTCCCCTCTGCTCCACCCCTGCAGCCACTGGCCGGGCTCAGGAAGGCTCATCCAACACTCCAGGTTTCACTCATTTCATTCCCAGCACAGAGCCTGGCCCCTGGCTGTGCTCAGGCGATGAGGGACGAAGGGCCGGCCGGCCTCCTAGCCTCCCACAGGACAAAGAGCTGGCTCACCAAGGAGCCGAGCTGCTGCCCGCTCAACAGAACAGAACAGAAGGGGCAGACCTTTGTTTTGGGACTCAGCCAGGGAGAGGGCATGGGGACAGGTGGCTACACAGAGCCGGGGTGCGAGAGAGGCCACCCCACTCTGCCGTGAGGTGGGACTGCAGGCCAGTCCCTGCAGGAGTGTCCCATGGCAGGAGGGGGAGGGCTGCGTGCAGGCCGTGAGTGACATGGGCGCGGGGAAATCACCCCCGAAACCTCTCCTTGGAAGTCTTGGAAGACGGAGCCCAAGGGGGGAAAAGGTCTGGCTTAGCTCCTGGGTATTCATAATACAGCTGCCATCTCCCCACGGGCTCCCCCGAAAGAAACCCAGCTCCTTACTGTGGCCTCCAAACCACGAGGTCTTGTTTCACGCTGTCACCACATAGAAAAAGCCCCCCGAGGACAGGCCGCGTGCCCCTTGTCCCTGCTCTAGCCCCGTGCCTGACACTGCCTGAGCATGGGTGTGTGTGAGAATGTGCGGGGCTCTTCCCGGGACCCTGGCCTGGGCCTGTGTCTCATGAGGTGCCCAGCACACCAGGTACCAGGACTGCGCGAGGAGCAAGGGGGGAAGCTGGAAGTCGACTAAACTTGAACCCCCTGACAGGAGCTGAAGGCTGCACCCCCACCCCCAGCCACCTGGGGGCCAGATGGGTTTCGGGCAGGTGCAGAAATACCTTGACACAAGGCCGCTGACTTTTGGACCTCAGGCCGGCCCGGCGCCAGGCGGCCCCTTCCTTCTGGGAGTCGGAGCCGGACGCTGGGTAGGACGTGGCAAGCAGGAGCTTCTGCAGCTGCGGGAGAAGCAGAGAGAAGAGGAGCTGGGCTGAGCCACAGTCAGAGGCCATGGAGGACAGAGAGGTCCGAGCCCCAGCCAGCCCCTCGGACTGACCACGCCTGACCCGGGTCATCACAGGACTGGGAAGAACATAGGACGGGCTCCTGATGACCTAGACCATCGGTCGGCAAACTCATTAGTCAACAGAGCCAAATATCAACAGTACAATGATTGAAATTTCTTTTGAGAGCCAAATTTTTTAAACTTAAACTATATAGGTAGGTACATTGTTATTAACTTAATTAGGGTACTCCTGAGGCTTAGGAAGAGCCACACTCAAGGGGCCAAAGAGCCGCATGTGGCTGGCGAGCCACAGTTTGCCAACCACGGACCTCGACTATGTTCCCAATATACAAAGTGGGGCAAAAAGTAGGGTTAAAATTGTTTGTATGGAAAGTAACACAATAATGAATACATCATAAGAGTAAACTCTGTGTTTCGCGGACTCACAACTGGAAGCCTGCTTCTGCCCCACCCTGCACATCACGCTTTAACAGAATGGGCAGCCATGACCCAAGATCTGGTTGGGTTTCTCAAAGGCACAGATAGTCTTCGTAGGTAATTAATTTTGAAAAGGATTTACCTTTTATTGGGGTGTGTGTGTGTGTGTGTGTGTGTGTGTGTGTGTGTTTGGGGTTGTTAGACAATCTGCTCTCTGCACTTAATGCTACACACACAGTGCCTTTGGCCACCCAATGTTTCTACACAAGAAGAAGCATGTGACACTTCATCTTGTCTGGCTTTTCTCATTTTTCTATAAAAGCTGCTGAGACGCTTATACGTCTGCATCCAGAGGGCAGGCATGCAACACATCACAGCCGAGATAGCAGGGAGCTGAGTGCAACTGGAGTCCTACCAGGGATGCCATCTCAGCCATAGCCGTGAGCAAGCCAGGAAGTAGGGCAGGTTTTTGCTAAAGCACCGAGTGCTTCCCTGGGGGTCATATCCCCCAGTTGGTCCCAACAAGGAGTGCCAAAGGCCCAGGAAGCAGAGAAAAGGCCATTCCACGCTCCTCTAGGAGCTGGAGGATCCTCATCTGGACCCCATACCAACACACACACATCTGTGATTCTCTGATGTGGACAGGAAAAGTTCTGTGGACTGGAGGGAAGGGACCTGGTTCTGGCCCAGCTCAGCCCAACTCACCATGAGACCTTGGGCAAGTCCTTTCCCACTCTGGGCCTTGGTTTCTCCATTGGAATAACAGGGGCAGGTAGACTGGACCTGAACCTTTTTTTTTTTTACTTAAGAGTCCCTCTAAGAATATGCTAGAAGCTGCTGACCTCAGAAAAGCGCACAGGTTTGTAGAGGTCCATGGGTCTTTGTCAAGCCAATGGTGGGCTCTCTGGCATCCATGACTCCAGGCTAAGAACGGAGCATGTGGACATCTCAGGGCCTTTCTGACCGTCTACTAGGAGTCTTTTTCCTGTGTGCCTAGCACAGTGCCTGAAACACTGCTCAAAAACGTGTGGAATGAAGGCAATCCAGGCACAGGAGGGAACGGTCTGTGACCAGCAGGGGTCGCTCTCTGCCTCTCAGAAGTTTGGTCCTGCTCCAGAGCCCCATACAGAAATGGCACGGAGAATTCCCCTTGTTGCTACCAGTAATGGCCGTGCCAGGATCATTACTTAGAGAGCATTTACTGAGCAACTTCTGTGTGCCAGGCCCTGTTCAAAGCGGTTTACGTGTATTACCTACAGCCTTTGAGATAGGCACTGTTTTTGACCTCACCTTACAAACCAGGAAGCTGAGTCAGAGCGGTTAAGGACACACAAGTGTTAAATGGGTGTGGGGGGTGGGGAGTGGGGGTGGGGATTCAAACCCAGGAGGTCTGATTCTAATCTTGCAGGAAGCAGGGCCCTCTCGGCAGGAGCCACAATGTGGGACTGAACATACTCATGTGTCCAGCACATCCAAGGTGCTTACTAAATAAATGGTTCACGCTCTTTTGGGGAACTTAAAAGAAGCAGGAAAGAAGGAAAGGCGTCCTGGGTTCAGTGTCCACTGGCACACCGACTTGCTGTACCACAGGAGGGGCCCCCCCACTCTGGGTCTCTGTTCCCCATGGTCAAAGGCCTTTCCAGCTCAAAACTCTCCCTGACCCAAGACCTCCTCAGTTCCAACAGGCTGATTTTCTGGGTCTCGCCGGCCTCCAGGAGCCATAGCACCAAGGTAAGGAGCCAAGCACAGGTGAGCGTAGCTGGACTTCACGCCCCAGGACATCTGGGCACTTGTACCCTCAGCCTGAATCAAGGGCAATGGTATGAGCAACTCGAGGTCTAGACCGCTCTGAGAATCTCATAAAAGCTGAGGCCATCTCCCCAGAAAGCTGTGACTCCATGTGCACATTCCCACATTCTGCATATACTCACACAGAGAGCATTTAACTTTTGCTGATGGAAGTATAAACCAGTCCAACCTGTTTGGAGGGCAATCTGGAATTATCTGTCTAAACTGGAAAAAAACAAACCCATGTATCTGTAGACCCAAGAATTCCATTTCTAGGAAATTTATCCACTCATATGTGGCAAAGGCCACTGAGCCAGCACAGTGACTATAGCACTGTAGCAATAAAGGAGTTGGAACAACAGAAATATCCATCAACAAGGGAACTGGTTACATAAGTCATGGTATGTCCTTACAAAGGAACACTATGTAGCCAAGAAAAAGGATGGAACAGAGCTACCTGCACTCATCTGAAAGCATTGCAAAGACACGCAGTTACACTGTGAAAAGCAAGGTGCAGAGCAGAATATAATGTAGGCTCCCTTTGTGCAGTAAAAAAATAAAAAGGTGGAAGAGGAATAATGTCATATAACAGATCAGTAACCACAGTACACTCTGGGGAAGGAAAAAGCGATCGTGAGATAAGTAAGGAAGTTTTGCTTCTCACTGTCACATCTGCTTGAGTTTTTACTGTGTGTGTATGTACAATTTTTTAGGAAAATGCTTGCATGTAATTTCAAGGTTTTGCAACACAAGGTCAATCCATGAAATCTCCAAGCGCCTGCAGATGTGCGTGAAGACTCTGTGGCTAGCCCAGCTGTACGGGTGGTAAAGGTGAGGCCCAGGGAGGCCTCCCATCCGGCTGTCTTCTGTGAACCCCATTGCCCCTGATGCATAGAGACCTCTACAGGGGCTACAGTCGGTTTCCCAAAACCCACCAGCCCTACACCCAAGCACCACACCCCAGGCCACCACCATCTCTTTGATTGGAAATAGGTTCTCACCAGCGAGAGCTCATCCACCTCAGGGGCCCTGGCAGGGGGGCTCTCCAGGGAGGGGCTGGGGGGCGTAGACGAGGGGGCAGGCGAAACTGAAGTGCAGGACGGTGTGTCTCCACCATCCAGGGCTGGGAAGGCAGCCAGACCCACGTCATCTTCAGGGATGTCATCCAGGGTCTTGGTGAGCGCTGCCAGGAGGGCCTCATTCTCACTGTCGATTATCTGAAGTAGGGAGCACGGGTGGAACAGAGAGGGAACACGGTTAGTCATACCTCAGCTCAGCGGTTTTCACACCAGAAGCCTGCTGTGCACACGCAGCTGCACCATCATCACCCTCCTGCCAGACCCTCTAGGATGCTTCCCCCATCAGATTCTCACAGAAGTGCTGCGGTAGAAGATGCCCAGGAAATGTGTTATCCACTCCAAGAATCTCAGAAGTGTAGGAGCAGGCAGCAGGAGATAGGAAATGGTCTTGCCCTGGGAGTCCCAGTCTGGGCTGTGCGCTACCAAGACCTGTCCCCTCTCCCAGGGACAGCAGCTCTGCACCACAGCCTCCCGCATCCAACCCCTGGGACAGAGCCCTGAGGCTGGTCTATGCCCCTGGTAGCAGCACCCCATTGCGGGTCCCAGCGGCTCTTACCCTTGGGCCCAGGCAGGCAGTGGAAAGGCTGGAAGCTTCAGGGTTCAGCCACGACAAGGACAACCACAGCTACCCTCTGCCTGCGAGCTCCCAGGGCCTGCCTGCCTCACTCACTCACAGAGAGGTAGTTGGTGTGGTGCTTAGGAGTTTGGGCTCTGGAGCTGAGGTTGAATCCCAGAACCCATACTTTTCAAATATGTGTCCTTGGGCAAGTTCCTTAGTTTTTTCCATCTGTCAAATGGTAATACTTACTTCATAAGGTTATTGTTGAGGACTAAATAATTTAACATATAAGTACTTACTACTACTACTTACTACTATAATTCATGTGATAATGGTGGTGATGATGGTGATGGTGATGATGATGATGACACTGATAGTGCTGATGATAATGAAGATGATGATGGTGGTAGTGGTGGTGGTGGTAGTGACCATTCCTCCCCCATCTCTTTCCTCCCTCCCCCTAACACATACGTACTGAATGGCTACTCTGTGCCTGGTGCTGACTGGGCACCGGTGATACAACATGCCGAGACCGGTACAGCCCCTCATGGAGCTTACACTCCAGTGGAGAAAAGAGTTAAACAAGGAAACAAACAAGATCATTCCAGGGAACCAGAGAGGCTGGGAAGAAGATAAAAGGAAGCTGTGATGCAGAATAAGAACATGGTGAAGGTTTACAGGTTATTTTGGGGGGTCAAAGAAGGCTGCGCTGAGCAGCTGAAACTTACACGAGGAGCCCTGAGAGATGAGAAGGCACCAGCCAGGCAAAAGGGGGAGGATTGAAGGTTCGAGGCAGAGGGAAAAGCAAGCACAAAGGCCTGGGACAAAGAATTTGGCTAAAAAGAGGAACAGGAAGGCTTTGTAAATACTGCCTCGCAACCGTCTGTAAGAGCCTGGTGCCATTCTAATCTGCCTCACAGTTAGGGAAACTGAGGCTCGTAGAGTTCGAGTGAGGTGTCCAGGGTCACACAGCAAGTCCGGGACAGAGGCAGGGCACCGAGCACTCCACGCACAGATGAACCAGACCCTTCCTGCTCTGATGTCGAAGATCCACCTCAAGGAGGGCTCGTGAGCACCCTCCCAGCCCACCAGCCCATGCCGGGGGCCCGGACGGCAGAGCTCACCCTGCTTCTCGGCGAGGCAGCGAGGACCCAGTTAGTAACCCCTGGTTGCTGGGCCTGCTCTGCAGCACGTGCTGTCACAGGATGCCTCCCCCAGCACGCGTTCCCACCCCAGGTCAGGCTGCTGATCCTTCCTTCAGGAAGTTCATCTGAAATACGCATCCCGTGACAGCCTTTTGGCCCCACTAAATCTGTTCCAGGCCTCGCAGCCGGAGCAGCAGCTGAGTGATTCGCAGGGGGGCACGGGGAGAAGAGAACAAACGTGTTTGTCATTTTTGGAACACAGCTAAGAATAAAAGAAAGGTCACAAGAAGGTTTTGCTTGGGCCTGACCCGAGCCCTGGGGATGGGGAGGACCAAGGGTAGATCTGGACCCATGGACTCTGGCTCAAGAATGCAGTGGAGCCCTGACTGGTTTGGCTCAGTGGATAGAGCGTTGGCCTGAGGACTCAAGGGTCCCGGGTTCGATTCCAGTCAAGGGCATGTACCTTGGTTGTGGGCACACCCCAGTAGGGAGTGTGCAGGAGGCAGCTGACCGATGTTTTATCTCTCATCAATGTTTCTAACTCTCTATCCCTCTCCCTTCCTCTCTGTAAAAAATCAATAAAAAATATATTTTTAAAAAAGAATGCAATGGAGCTCACTTGACTCCCCCCACCCTCCCCAACCCAAAGACCAGAGCCCCCGTACCCCCAGAGCAATCTGTCTAGCCCGATGGGGAGTTAAGGTCTTGGAACCTGGGGCTCAAGGACCACTCTTGGGGCTGAGCGCTCGGGGCTCGGATCTGAGCCTCAGTGGAAGTCATGATGAAAGCGCTTCCGTGCCCAGACAGTGCCTGAAGCACGGGAGGCACCCAGGCAGATGTTTTGAGTGGAAGAATGAATGACCCGCACAATGCATTCTGGCCACGAGGAGAGATTGAGATTAGGGTTTCAAAGAACAGATTCTAGAGGAATGTTACTCAGAAATGATGTCATCAAGCACTGGATGGAATGAGAATTCCCTTTGCCAGAGGTGGCCGATGGCCCAGAGATACTATGAATTATCGCGAATATCAGCGGACCCCTCCCAGATCACACAGAGACCAGGGATGTTGACCACGTGACCTAAGTGCTACCACCCCTTCCTGCTAAGCAGCTGTGGCCGTTCCTTCCTCGCCAGCATCTTTCTTTAGCTGCACAGCCCTCCAGGCAACAATGGCCGGTGCAGCACAGCTGGCGCTCACAAGGAAACTCAGTTGCTGTTCTTTTTAGGGTGGGGGAATGAAGGTCCAGGAAAGACACTTGTCAAGGTCACACAAGACAGCAAGTCAGAGGAGGGGGTCAAGGGCCTACTGTGTGCCGGGTGCTGTGCTCAGATGGATACAAAATGGCAGAGACCTCAAGAAGCCCCCAACAGGTTGGCATCAACAAAATAACTAACCGAAGGCCTCCGCCATCCCCTCAGCCCTCCCTGGGAAGAAAGGCTACTCCTGCCCACAGCATCACCCCATCGGCACTACAGGATAATACAGTACAGGGGCTGGGCCAACCCTCTCCTCTTCCTGGCCCATTAGCTCGACTCCCCTAGCTCTGCTTGGAAGCGGAGTGTAAATTAATGGAGAGTTAATCAGCGGAGGAAGGGATATTAATAGATTCAGCCCCACCCCCAAGCTTCCTGAGCTGATTTCAAGCTAGAGGAAAGGAATCGGTACGAAATCTGGGGGGAAACGCTTCATTTTGGGCCCAGAGTGCTTGAAGGAATGTCACGGGGCAGAATTTAGGCAATCGGGCTGGCAACGACACTCTGAAATCCTCTACTGTCTCAGGGCTGGGGGTTGGGGGGCTTTAACTGGAGCCTGGAAAACCCAGGAAATCAGTTTCCCCGTTTTCTACTGGGAGTTGGTCCATAGATTTCATCCGAATCTAAAGGACTCTTCGACTCTCCCCCAGCAGATTAAGAACCACTGATTGAATCCATGTTCCGTCTTCATTGCTCACATGGGGAAACTGAGGCCCAACCAAAGGAAGCTAGCTACTTGCCCAGGGCCACACGGCACAGCTGACAGAACAACCAAACGCCTGCTTCCTCCAAAAAAGCTTACGAAGTGCCTGTGCGGCCCCAACCCTAGGCCTCTGGGCAGGGCCCCCCCCCCAGGCGTTGTCAAACCTGTCCCAGTAGCTTGTTCTTCACCCTCCCAGTCTGTTTCCATAGCAACGGTGTCATTTGACGGTTAGTTCACACCTGTGACCCAAGGCAGCACTGCTCCGAGTCCCACTGGCCAAGTGAGGGAGCTGCCCCAGCTAGTGGCAGGAGGCGGGTAGAACCTATGGTCCCCAAGTCCCAGCTCAAGGTTGTGGACTGGCTCACACCTGGCCCTGGGCAGGAAAGAAACATTACAATCGGTGCCGTCATACGACTGAGTCCCGACAATGGGTGAGGGCCCACACACATGAATGAAATGCTGTTTGTCCTCCAAGGAGCTTGAAGTCTAAAGGACACATATAAACACACAGGTGTGCACACATATGCACATACACACACACAAGGTGCGAACCCACGAGAGGAAGTGACTGACGAACTTCCTTAGAAGGAGCCAACATGAGAGCTGGGCACGGAAGGATGCAGTCACTTGGTAAATATGTATTAAGCCTGAGAAAGTGCCAGGCTCTGTGCAGAGCGCTGGGGCTGTAACAATGCACAATGCCATCAGGTCCCCATGCCCATGGGGCTCACGAGGGGGCAGGGCGGGAATCAGTCACCGATCACATCATCACAGGCACAGAGGCGCATCCATGTATAATGGGTGGAGCTGGCCTGGTCTTGGGAGCAGGTGGGGGGCACAGGCCAGCAAGGGGAGAGGGGCTGGGTGGGCAGAGTCCTGCATAGCCCTAAGCATCTGTGAGGATTCTGCCTTTCTTGCCAGCTGGGAGCCGTGGGGGGCCAGGGGGAGGGGTGCACCAAGCTGACTTGTGTCTGAGACCATGTCATGCACATAGTAGGACCTTAGCAGGATCTTGCTAGTGGGACTGGCCAATCTCTGGGTAAGCAGGGGATGGTCCCCACGCAGCATCTAAATCCCTCTCACTCATCAGTCTCCACACGTAAAAGCATTCTCTGGAGGCTGGCGCCCTCTGAGGAGGGAGCAGCATAACGTAGGTCTCATTCCCTTTGTTCACGGAAAGAATGAAGGTCACCAGATGGAGCCAGACCTGGAGTCTAGCCCTGCTGATCCTCATGGGGTTGGCAGAGAGGCTGTGTAGCAGTGAGGGCTCTGGGTCCCTAGGTTAGTCTACACCTTGACCCTCCTAGCTGTGGGGCCTTGGGCAAGTTACTTAACCTCTCTGAGTTTCACTGTCCTCACCTGTGAAGTGGGTTATTAACAGTCCTTTACTTATATATCAGAATAGCCGTGGGAAAAAATCAAACGCCTTACGTTAGCCCACAGAGACCCTGCATGATCTGGCCCTGCCTACCTCTCTGCCTATCTCCTGGTCTCGCCTTAGCTTGTACCCCCCAGCCCTTCTGTTCCTGCTTCCCAGCTCTGCACTTACTGTGTCCTCTGTCCCTGCTCTTTGGTCTCCACGAGGCTCCTCCTTCTCACCTTCTCACCGTTCGGTGGAAGCATCTCCTCCCTGAGGCCTTTCCTGCCACCTAATCTTTAGGACCCCTTCTCATCCCAGTTCGCTTCCTTTTGTGCCCCCAATGCAATGAGCACGGTTTGTTTATGAGTCAGCTGATCTAGGGTCACTCTCCCCCCTAGGCTGCCCAGGGCACTGATGAACACAGTGCCTGACACACAGAGTGAGCTCGTAAACATGTCTAGAGGCAACGATATCATCCTCCGCACCATCCGAGGTGATGCTATGGCGCACCTGCATGGCAAGTGGCACACAGGATGCTGTTGCTGTTATTACTACGGGGCCAGACAGGCGCAGGGAGCTAGGTCTTCTCCCCCAGTCTTCATGGGGGAGCACATTTCCAGGAAAGAATAATGAACTTGAATGTACCCATCACCCAGCCTCAACAACATGGCCAATCTTCTTCCATCTATTACCCTCCAGGTCACCCACACACCCACACGCACATGCACGCAGAGCTCGCCTTATTCTTTTTGTGTGGGAGTTCATCTGAGCCAAACCGATGACCTGTGCCAGGAAGCGAGATCTCGAATGGTCCTGAGCTTGCTTTATTCTGAAGCAAACCTCAGACATCCTAGTTTTCCACGTTAGAGGGCTTCTTAAAGGGAACGTCACCCAGTACGTGCCCCGGGGCTGGGAGCTCGCAGGATGAGAGGCATATGTATGTATGCACAGCGGCCCTCAGCACTGCCTCTTTTAAAGACCCTCTAGACTCCCATTGAAAAATGGAGATAACTGTACTTATGTCTGAGAGCTGTTCAGAGAATTAAGTGAATTAATATACGCAAGCCGGGCAGTCCCGCCACAGAGCAGCTGCTCAGTAAACATGAGGCATTCCCGTCACAGCATCATCGTGGCTATACAGCCCTGGCTTGGGAGGCAGGAAGGCTGGGTTTGAATCTAGCTCGTTACTGATTAGGTAGATGGCCCTGGCGACATGCCTTCAACCCTCCGAGCCTCAGCTTCCTCATCTGCAAAATGGGGAAATAATCATGCCTGCCTCACAGGATAGAGAAGAGAACTGAGCGAGCTACCACAGGGAAGGGAGGACTTGGACCCTGCCCTGACCCGCAGAGGGACTGGGTTCTGATTGGGATGGGGGTCGGGGGGGGGGGCACAGAGAGAGCAGCTCTTCCCAGCCCTCACTTTCCAGAGGCCTGGCAAGGACGAGAGCTGCCGAAGATCATGTGCAGATACAGGGCAAGAGACACAGTCGTAAGAGCTTCGGTAGTCCCGAGAGGAGACCTCTTTGCGTGAGCAAGTGCAGAAGAAGGTGGTGCGAGCGGAGCCAGGCTTTCAGGGGCAGAGAGGGCCACGGCTGGGCAGGGACAGCGGCTCGGGAGGTCATACCTGGAAAAGCTCTGAGTCGTCGGGGCTGTAGTGGCTGGGCTCAGTGTCGGAGCTCTCGGGGCACCACTGCAGCTCCTCAAAGCAGGTGGCCGAGTCGAAGTCGCCAACATCCAGCTGGGAGAGGTCAAGCTCTGGAAAGTCGGCGCAGAGTTGCTCCTCCTCGGACCCCACACCCTGAGGAGACAGGAGGGAGGGAGGCTGGTCAGAGCTGAGCTTGGCTAAACCCAAGCGGGGACCATCCTACTCATGATGCTGCCAGTCTGGACCTTCGGCCACCCTTGGCCAAGGCCATTTTGCCAAATGACCAAGAAATGTCAAGTTCTGCCCCACACTCTTGCATCTTTTGAATGTACCAGGAGCTAAGCCAGGCCCTGGCTGTACAATCCTGACTGCTGTTCTCTCCCTTTCTCCTCTGCACTCCTATATATCCCTCAAGGCCCTGCCCACGTAGCCCCTCTTTTTTCTTAGGAGCGATGTTTTGTTGAAAACTTTATGAGGGCCAGTAAATAGAGACCTACTCCTTCCCATACCTGCTCCCAGCTGAAAGGAGATTTCTGGAAGACAACAATCCGTCCATACTAATAAGGAAGCAACAAAAATGGCAATAATAATAATAATGGCTGATGTTATCGAGTGAGGACTCTGTTTGGACACTCACTCACCCGTGTTCCCAGGGACTTGACAGGAATATCTGTAAAGTCTACAATGCGGAAGCCCACCCATCATGAGACAACAGGTAAATAAAACTAGGATCGCCTGTATCACGGAATCTTATGGTGCTGTTGAAGAGAATGAGGTGGCTGAATATACTCTTCAAGACATTTTAGACAAGAAACTAAACTGCAGGATATCAGTAGGTACTCCACGTGTGTAAAGAGAAAAACTAGGCTACGCGTTTCTCTGTGTACCGTAACACGTATGCAACGCACAGGGAAAGGTCTGCAAGGCCCTGAGCCCACCTGCCAGTGGGGGTGGGGACTCTGGTAACATCACTGCCTGAACCAGTGCTTCTCAAAGGGTGGTCCCAGGACCGGCAGTGTCAGCGGCAGCTGGACCATGTTAGAAATAACGCAGGTTCTCAGGCCTAACCCCAGACCTCCCCCCGCCCGAATCAGGCCATCGCTTTCTCATCCCCATCTCCCAAGTTTAACAGTTACCAATAGGTGGGTTGCCCTGCCAATTTAGAAACGGCCTGAGTTGGAAGACTGACACTGAAACGGAGTACCGTAGGCCCAGGGGTCTGGCGGATGTGAATCATGAGCCCCGGTCAGCCGCTGTGAAACCCTGGGCCAGTCCCTTCACCTCCAAATCTCAGCTGCCTCATCTGTAAAATGGGAAACCCCCGCCTGCTTCATGAGGTGACGATGAAACAACGGTATAGCCTGGTTTGGCAAGCGCTTGAGAAATGGTAGCTCACAGCCATAGTTACAAATTTTTTTAAATAATAAAAACAACAGCATTTCATGGCAGGCAGAGGGGGCAGAACTGCATTAGAGAACAAAAAAAGAGAGTATGTGACAGGAGAAATAGGTTTGGCGAGGCCTTTTCCTTAATTGTTCCCACTTACTAGGCCTCATAAATTATGAATAAATGTATATTATTAGCTCAACTTGACACAGGAAAAAGGCTTTTATCCGAATTTAGGTCAAATGTCTTAATTGGCATTTTGCAAGAATCCGGCATGCATGGGTAGCACCAGAGCACGCTTCTCTCGAGTGGCCCGCCCCCTGCTCAGGCCAGGGGGGCATGATGCTCGGGCAGCCTCTGTCTCCAGGGACGCCCCCAACCACCTGAGCCCCCACCTTCCCAGTCTTTCTCCAGCCCACATGCACTCAACAACCACGAATACTGAGCACCGTGTCACTCCAGGCCCTGCCAACACCCTGACCACCACTCAACTGCCTTGGCCGTGGGGACACTCGGGTGGATTCGCAGCCCCCTCTTGGGGACTTCCTTAGATGGACGACTGGTTTGGTTTTAGTTTTTGGCTATTATGAAGTCTACAGTGTTTGTAAGTCTTTGTGTGGCATATATCTTTATTGCTCTAGGAGTGGATTTGTTGGGTTCTATGGGAAGTGTGTGTGTGACTTACAAAAGCTACAACTTGTTTTCCAAAGAGATTGTACCACTGGACATCCCCAACGGTGTAAGAGTTCCAATTGCTTTAAACCCTCACCAGCACTTGGCATTGTCACTCATTTTAATTTTAGCCACGCTAGTGGGTGCACTTAGTAACTGCTACGAGCCAGGGACAGTGACAGAGAAGACTCAGTTCATTCCTTCACAAGTGGACATCTTCGTGGGGAAGAAAACACATAAATATTTCATTATAGATCATGGTAGTGCTGCTGAAACAAACCAGGTGTGCTGATGGAGGCTAACAAGGCGGGCATCTATCTTAGTTTGGCCGGGAGGAGGGGGGCGGGCGGTCAGGAAAGGCTTCCTGTAGTTGCCGATACCTGAGTTGACACTGGAAGGAGAGACAGGTGGTAGAAGACGTGGGAAGAACGTTCCAGGCAGAGGGCCCGGCAAAGGCAGAGGCCCAAGTGGGGACCAAGCCCAGAGCATGAGGCACTGACCAGAGGCCTTCAGAGAGGCAGGTGGAGGCGGATCAGGTAGGGATTGTAAGAGATTTGAGGTTTGCTCCAAGTACGACAGGGGTGGGACCAGCTTAGAAGCAGGCAGATGGGTTCGGCAGGTATAGCATCCAAAAGAGGGGCAGGAGGGACACAGGAGGGCCCAATGCAGAGACACAAGGGTGCTGGGCAGCTGGGGCTTCCCTGGCCAGCAAACCCCCCAGCAATAACCTCTGTGGGGAGCTATTCCTTTATGTTCGATCCCCTTCATCCCAGTAACAGAGCACCTGGCTCTGTAAGACTCGCTTCCTGAGGCTTAGGAATAACGTTATCATCAGAATCCCAGACAGGCCAGGAATCAGCAGCCCTGAGAGGCTGTCCAGGCGAGTTATCGTGGGCAATTTGGGCTTCAGAGGCCCCTTCAAGAACCAGACAAAAGCTATGGAGAGCTTCTACGCTCTCCATAAAATAGTGCGATGCATACGTGTGCAAGGAATTAGTACTTAACTTGTAGGCCTTCAGAGATGCTGCCTAAGAACTCCTGTCTCCCTCCTTCACTCTGCAGACATGGAAACTGGGGCCCACGGAGGACAAAGGATTCACTCAGAGTCACCCAGTGACTATCCTTCCCATCAAAACCATGTCACCTCCTTTACAAACACCCATAAAATGCCCATGACTACTGCCCTTATTGATTACCCATAGCAGCTCGACACACTCCAAGTGTGTCCAGGACATAAACATGCAGAAACCTCAGCTCTGTGGCCTTGTCAATTAGGGCTGAGGCCACTGGCGAAAACCCTTTAAGCACCGCATGAGCAGTGATCTCCCGGCCTTCTCCATATTAGGAGAGGCTTCTGAAGGGGCGCCGGGATGACCCAGTTCTCTCGGAAAGGTCTGATTCGAGGCCTTCTTGTTCTGTACCGGCCGCCTGCCGGGGGCCACGCAGTGGAGCTGGGAGGTCACAGCACAGGACCAGGCCACTGCTATTAGTGAGGCTTACTTACTACCTGCCATGGGCCAGGCAGCGGGCAGTGCATGAACTTCCCATCAGATTCTTAAAACAACCCTTCAGGGCAGGTGTCACCAGCCCCACGTGACGAATCAGGAAACTCGGAGATGGAGTCACTTGGATGAGTTTGCTGGGGCTTGAACGACAGAAATGGGTGGCCTCCCAGTCCCCTCGCCAGATGTCGGGGATCAAGGTGTTGGCAGGGTTGGCCCCTCCCGAGGCCTGTCTCATTGGCTCGAGGACAGCTGTCTCACCCCGCTGTCTCTTCACATGGTTTTCCTCTATGTCTGCCTGTCCCTGTGTCAAATGTCCCCTTTTAAGAAGGACATCAGTCATACAGGATGAGGTCCCACCCAGGGGACCTCGTTCTAACTCGATTACCTCTGTAGCAACCCCATCTCCAAGTAAGGTCACATTCTGAGGTCCAGAGGTCTTTTTTTTGGAGGGCACACTTCAACCCATAGCACCCAGGATCCCGGAAAGGTGAAGTTGAGGTTCAAGTCCAACTCTCTTTGCTCCCTACAAAGCCTGCTGTCGTCCGACATCCTGCTTCTGAACGTGAGAAGGAACATTCAGGACCATTTATTCCCATTCAGTGATGGGGAGACAGAGCTGCAGACAAGGGCTGAGAAAGACACAAGTCACACCACAGGTTCAGGGCTGCGCAGGACAGGTGAGGGGCTAGATACGCTGTCCTGTGCACCGGCCTCACCTGGACGGTCCCTCAGCTCCTCCCCACCCCCCAGGGTCTGCTCCCACCCCCGCCATGAGACCCATCTGGTTGCTGGGCCTTCCGCACCCATTTTTCCAGCAACACCACACCCTGCTGAGATAAGGACCGTGGCTGCCCCAAGCCAGGGAGATAAATGCCCCTGGCAGTGAATTAATGGTGCTTCATCCAGATTCACGTAAGTGGCTTCATTGGAAGCCTGTGTATCTTGGTGGAAATCGATTCCCTGCTTAAGAAAGAATGCATCTCCCAGAGAAATTGGTGGCTCCACTTTCCTGACTGCAATCAGCAAATCTCCTCACTGAGTGCCAGGCCCAGAGAGCATTTTCTGAGTTACTGAGTGGAAGGAAGCAGGAGGGGGAGGGGTGGCGGCAGTGACAGAGCTTGGCTTCTGGGTCTGTCCCTGCTCACTATGCATCCTTCAATGAGTCACCTCCTCAGTCGGGTTCTCACTGCCCCTTCCGGAAAAGAGAGCGTCAAACAGACCGACCATATGGACCCCTCTTGCTCAGGCACTTGATACAATTCTAATTCTAATACGAGTCTAATTTCTGAGATCCACACAGGCTTGGAGGAAGTATTTAGGTAAAACAGCATTTAATGAACAAATAACTTACAGAGGGGAGGTCAAAGGTGCAGAGAGAAGGACTGTCTTGGAAAGGAAAGAGGCCTAGACAAGGAGGACAAAGAACTAGCCCCTGGCTTTGCACTAACTAACACTAGGCCTTTGAGGTCAGGGCATGCCTTTGGCCGACTCAGTTTCTACTGACAAAATGGGGAGGAAAAAAAGTATCCTACCTCACAGGGTTTTTACAAAGATGAAGTAACACGGGTGGGAGCCTCGCATGTGTCAGACACCCCAGCAATGATGGTCAGATACCGCACTTGCAGTTGACATTCAAGTGACATTCACAGCCATGGTCTCATTGGTACCTTCCCAAGATGTAGGGAGCGGTCAATGGTTGGCATCCCCATGTGACTGATGGGGAAACTGGGGCTCTCAGAGGGTCACTGCTTCTCAAATTTGTCTTCTGACCCTTCCCCTCAGTCCTAAACCTACTGGTTCTTTTATCTTGTGTCCCTTCAACCTCCTCCAACCCCCAACCCCAGTGTCATCTGTCGAGTCCATGACTCT